ATATTTGAATGATGGTTTCTTCAGCAAAAGAAGAAGTCACATCACCCTCACAGGAAAGATGATCTGTTATCAGTAGTATATGCTAACTCTATTTTCTTCACTGTCTCTTTATTCACTGCCCCTTAAGTATTGGATATTCATCCGTGGAAAACTTCATTTCTATACTCCGTTTTTTTCTTTACACAGTTACTATTATAAAATAATCGTTGTAAGGTACAGGTGAATCAAGTAAAGTTTCTGCTCAGAAATCTTAAATGGTTTACTCTATTGCCTATTAAGATACTCATTGACACACTTTATAAAGCCTTCCTCCACCATTCTTTTATCCATTCTTTCCTTTATTTGACAAACATTTATTGACATTATTGTTCCAGGTGCAGAGAATGAAATGATAGGTAAAACACACACACACAAAAAAACCCTAAAGAAATTTACAGGAATGTGAAGAATTAGACACTAAGTCAGAATATGAGAAAGAAATTACAATGAGATATATTGGCTTTATATACCAAACTGATGGCTTCGTAATTTGTATGTGTAGCCCACACTTTTCCTCTAAACTTGAGTCACATGTGCAGAATGTATAAAGCATATTTACTTGAATGCCCAACAAGTATCTAAAACAACAAAAAAGCCAGCGCTTAATCTCCCATTCCTCTCCTATTCTTTTTTATCTCAGTGTACAATCATCCCATCCTCCTGGTAACTCAGAAAAATAGCTTAGACTCCTCCTTGACTCCTTTCTTTCTCTCATACCCCACATTCAATCTGTTACCCAATTATGTTGGCACTATCTTTAAAATATATCCAGAATCCAAAAACTTTTCACGATCTCCATTACTGACATCCTTATCTCAGCCAGTACTGTTTTTCAGTAGCTTCTTAACTCATTTCCCTGCTTCAGTCGTTTGTCTTCCTTCAGTCTTTTCTCAAAACCACAGCCACAAAGCTCTTATAAAATGTAAACCAGCATGTCATGCCTATGTTCAAAACCCTGCAACGACTTTCAAGATCCTGTATCATGCTCTCCTATCTGACTTTTAACACCACCAATTCCTCTCCTTTACTCCTTTCCAGCCATATTAGTCTCCTTCGTGACCATTTGTTAGCACTCTCTTGCCCTGAACACACCCATATATCTTGCCTGTACTTCCCCTGCTGAACTGTGGTTAAACAAAACAAAACAAAAACACATCATCAATAAAACTTTATATGAAAACTATTTAATACTGTAATCTTCACTCCTAAAACTTCCCAGCTACTTTTTCTGTTGTGTATTTCCTCATGTATCATTACACCTTTTAACTTACTGAATATTCTACTTATTTTCTCTCTTCCCACTAGAAAGTAAACTCCATAAGGGGAAGACTTCTTCTGTCACAGTGTCAGTACCTAATACAGGATAATTTGTTGAATAATGAACACGTGTGTCTGGGACAGAGGGTAGTTGGGAGTGATGTAAAGAGTTTAGTGTTCTGCATGGAAAGAAAGTATGATGCTAGAAAAAAGGAAGGGGCAGGATGATGTAAGATCATGGGTACCATGATAATAAGCTGAGACTTTATGCTGTGGTCAATGGTGAGAAATGGCAGAGGAATGATTGGGTAGATTTACATGTCAAAGATCACTCTGAGAGCAGTGTAAAGAGCACCTTTGAAAAAGAACCAAACTCCAAGTAGAGATACCAACTGACAAGGTTATTATGATGATTTCTCTTGCTGCAGATCTTAATGTAAAAGCTTTCTATTTTTCCCCTCTCAGTATGATGTTAGCTGTGAGTTTATCACATATGGGCTTTACTGTGTTAAGGTATGTTCCTTCTATGCCCAATTTGTTGATAGTTTTTTTCTTTTTTTTAATCATAAATGATGTTGAATTGTATCAAATGCTTTTTCAGTATCTATTGAAATGATTCTATAGTTTTTGCCTGGATGATCTATCCATGGCCAAAGTGGAGAGAAGTCCTCTACAACTGTATTGCAGTTAATCTCTCATGTAAATTCTAGTAATATTTGTTTTATGAATCTGGGTGCTCCAGTGTTAGATGCATGTATATTTATTACTGTTATATCCTCTCACTGAATTGATCCCTTTATCATTATATAATGACCTTTTTGGTCTCTTTTTAGAGTCTTTGCCTTAAAGTCTATTTCATCTGATATAAGTATAGTTACTCCTATCCTTTTATGGCTGCACTAGCATAAAATATCTTTTTCCATTACTTCATTTTCAATCTATGTGAGTCTTGATAAGTGGAGTGAGTTTCTTGTAGGAAGCATATAGTTAGGTCCTATTTTGCTATTCAGCCATTTTGTATCTTTCAATAGAAAAATTCAGTCCATTCACATTCAATGTTATTATTAATAAAAACCATTTTATTACTTGTGTACTAGTTACTGTGTGATTCCTCTCTTCCTTTATCCTTTCTTACTACCTTCTTTTGCATTTATTTTTTTCTGCTAGTATTTTTTTAGGGTACCTATTATAGGTTTTTTTTTGGTTTCTGTTTACCATAAGGCTTACAAAGCCTTACTATAGTTATAATGATATTATTTTAAAAAGATAATAACTTGATTGCAAAAACAAACAAAAACTATACACATTAATTTCTTTTTACCACTATTTTGAATTTTTGACGTCACAATTTATATTTATATTGCCTATTGCTTAAAAAATTGTTGTAGTTATTATTTTTTAATAGTTTCTCTTTTAGTCTTCTTAGTAAAGATATAAGTGGTTTAACATACCATGACTAAATATTAGTGCAATAATCATGATAGCATCCTTTTCTTTCCATTTTAAAACTCCCTTTAGCACTTCTTGTATGTAGGTCTGAAAGTGATAAATTCCCTCAACTTTGTTTGTCTGGGAAAGTCTTATTCTCCTTCATTTCTTAACATAGCTTTCCTGGATATGATATTCTTGGTTTACATGATTTTAGTTTTTATTTTTTTCCCAACATTTTGAGTATATTGTCCTACTCATTCTTGTCCTGTAAAGTATCTGCTGTTAGGCATATTGGAACTCCCTAGCATATTATTTGCTTATTTTCTCTGTTTTCAGGATCTTCTCTTTGTCTTTGACTTTTGAGAGTTTGATTATAATATGTATTGGGGAATTCTTATTTGAGTGGAATCTAATTGTTGACCTTTGACCTTCCACCTTCCTATATCTAGTCATTTGTATATTTTTCCAGGTTTGGAAATATTTCCGTTATTGTTTCCTGGAACAAACTTGCTAGCCCTTGTCTTTCTCAGTTCTCTCTTTAATTATAATAACTCAAATATTTGTTCTTTTGATGTCATTATAAATCCTATAAGCTTTCTTTATTCCTTTTCATCCTTTTTTTCTCCTCAGACTATGTATTTTCAAATTATCTTCAAGCTCACTGATATTTTTTCTACTGTGTGATCAATTCTGCTGTTGATGCTCTTTATTACATTTTTTTCATTTCAATCATTCTATTTTTCAGTTCTAGGATTTCTGCTTAATTTTTAAGAATGATTTCAATCTCTCTATTAAATTTCTCTGATAAGTTTCTGAATTGATCTTAGTGTTTTCTTTAGGTATGTTGAACTGTCTTAAAACAATTTAGAAATCTTTGTGAGATCACACATCTCCATCGTTTTATGGTTGGTCTTTGGCATCTTATTTTGTCCATTTGGTGAGGTCATATTTCCATGAATGTTCTTAATACTTATGGACATGCGATGATATCTACATGCTACAGAATTATGTATATATTTTAGTCTTTGCAGTCTAGCTTTATTTGTGCCTATCTTTCTAGAGGGCCTTCCAGGGATTCTAAGCAGACTGTCTGTAGAGTTCCCTGAGCCTGTGCCTATTGCACCCATCTAGAGAACACTCTAAGCCCAGGCTTGCTGCATGTCTTGCAAGGACTGAGGTTGACATAGCTTTCCAGCCCAGAAAGACATGGGGAAGATCCAAAGAGAACACTGGAGCTATGCAGGAACTCTGGCCAGAAATCAGAGTCCAGATGACTATAAATCTCAGATGGGTGCGCTTCCCAGCAGGTCTCTGTATAAGGAAGACTGGAGATGAGACTAGGCCCCTGGGTATCTCCTGTGGAAAGGAGGCTGATAGGCTAACTCGTTGGCTCAGACAGGGATGTGTAAGCCAGCAGGTCTCTGTACAAGTTGGGTAGTTCCTCAGTCACAACAGGAGGGGCCAGAGCTGATACTAGGCTCCTCAAGATCTGCTGTGAGATGGAGCCTCATGTGCCTATCATGCCGGCTCAGATGCGCACACATCTCCTAGCAGGTCCCTGCACTGAAAAGACAGCTCCCCAACTGCTGTAGAAGTGATTAGAGCTGATACTAGTATCTTAGGGATCTGCTATGGGATAGAAGCTGGAGAGACATGTCTCAGCTCAGAGGGGTACATGTCACTCAGTAAGTCCCTGTACAGTTAAGATTGCAGCACAAGAAGCCAGGGTTGAGACTGGGCCCTCTCAGTATCTGCTGCGGGACACAGGCTAGCATGCCTATCACACTGACCCAGACAAATGCATATATCTTTTGTTAGACATACTGAGTTTGAGGGATTCTGTGGAATTATCCAGGTGATGTTTCTTATTAGGCTGCTGGAAATACAAGAATAAAGCCTATAGTAGATCTTTGAGTGAACGATGTAAATTTTGAAATCATCAATATATGAGAGATAGGTAAATGGTATAAGCAGAGGAGACCACTAGAGAATAATGGATAGAATCAGAAGAGTAGAAGACATTGCTTAAGGCAAAACAACTTTTAGTGGATAGAGAGAGAAAAAAAAAAAGCTCAAGAAAGAATCCCAGAGTTACAAGGAAACCCAGACATTTACAAAGAAGAGAGGCTTAATGATATCTGGAATGTACATGGCACCAAGTAAGAGTCTGTTAGGATGAGAAAACTGCACATCTGTAATATCATTACACATCTCCATTAATTATCTTGTTATATACTGAGTCTTTTTCAAACTTCAAAATGTTAAAAATGTACCTGTATACTCCACTGAAGGGAAGTAGCATTCAGACGGGCTTTCAGTGAGATGAAGCACAAATTTTTCAAGTAATTCTACTAAGGCTGTAATAAACAAGAGAATAATTAGGATATTAAAGGTCAGAATAATATGTGACAATGCATCCTTAAATCATAGAACTAGTATATAAAAGTCATCTGAACTTCACAGATACACTCTAAGGGAGTTCAATTCAAATGCATACTGTTTTAGTATTCATAACACTGTTTCTGATGCAAATTAAACTTTAATAGCTTAGCTGAGAACCTATTCAACATAAAACTGAAAAAGGATCATCTGTTATCTTTAGATCCTCTAAGAATTATTTCAGAATTTGCTAAATGATTTCAAATCTGAAAGTATCACTAATTATGCTATAATACCTTTGTTCTTTATGCATAACTAAAAAATATATTAGTGGGTTCTAAGGCTAGGATCAATGCATAGCTCATTCAAAATCAGGACATATTATATGTTTTACATGCTTTGCAACTGATGGTATCTATTCAAGGCAACCAATATCAAAAGAAGGCTTGACCTAGCTGGCTTGGAAGTGATAAAATGGTTATTTTCTAGGCTGGTTTGATAATGCCACTAGGCTTGCATCTAATGCCCTTGAAATGGATATAAACAGGTACAATATAATTAATATGCAACCCAGAGTTTGTTGTGGGTTTGAGTTTTTTGTTGTTGTTGAAAATAAATAAATTTGTACAGTCAATGTTATGCTTTAAATAAGAAGTACACTTTACTCACTATGTAAAATTGTCCCTTAATTATATCCAGCATATTAACTCTAACCCACATTAACTAAATGAACCCTATTTCACATATAAGTACATTTTAAGTACATAATTCTTGAAGAAAAATTAGTGTTCAATAGGTGAAAAGTCCAAAATCAAAGAGGAATAACATATTCTTTTCAGCAATTGTAGCTGACAAGTTCTATCTCATAATATTTTAATGGCTGAGGACAAAAATGAAATGATTTTATTCATTGAACTATATTCATATGATGATTTCAAAGCTAAATGAGTATTAAAAGTATAAGAATCCAATCGTCACGGGTCAGAAAGGACATCAGTATTGTAAACTATTTATGTTTATAGTTGCTTAGACTGGTTCCATCTTCATGTGTAGACACAAATTTTGTCATACTTATAAAAATCTTTCAAAAGTCTTTCTTCTATGAATTAACAAATTAAATAGGCCTCAGGTGAGAGCATTTAAATTCTATGTGTATAAACTTCTTTCTTTATAAATCACTTAATACTGTCTCTTGAGATTATAAATTTTGCAGAAAGAACAATGTCTTCATGAAGTTCAGATATAATCATTCTTAGTTTAATAATAATTTAAGATGCAATATATACATTAGTAACAAAGATTATACAGAAAGACACTTTTACAACTCTAAACATAATGTAATAATGTAATTATTTTTACTTCAGCACAACCATGTTTGCTACACGCTATGTATTTAAGTAAAGTGCTTTAGTTAATAGGAAAAGACACAGCATATTGCTAAGCAAGTCTTTGAATCCTGTGCCTGAGATTAGGTCAGAAATACAGAAAATTCATTACATCTGTGAAAGAACTACATACAAAATAATTTGATACTTGAGTCACACGACTAATTGCATACATAGCAAGCCACACTATTTTCTGACAATACTGATATTCAAACATAATGTTATTAGATCAGTATATTAGAGGCTTACAGATGAACTAATTCTATATTGCATAGGTAAAAATGACATTTACTAAAGTACTCCCAGAAGGTTCTAGATTTCTACTGATGCCTATTTATTCATTTTGCCCAGCAACCCTTAAATAGCAACATATATTTTTAGGTATTTTGAGGGATAGGCTATACTCATGTAACGATGCTAAAAATCGATCTATATGTGGTAATTGAACCTATGACTCTTATCTCAGTACATCTTTCTAACCAATTGTAAGTGTAGCTGAACTACATAATTACTAAAGTGGCTATTTATCTCAGTATGACCAACAGCCTCACTGTCAACCCACTGAAAATTCCATTAACTCAAGGAAATTAATTCATGTCACAAAACAATCCCTAACTTTAAAACAAATTAACTCTAGGATGTTACTGTCCAGAAAGTAAACTACAGAATATTCTTTCTTCTAAAGTGAATTTTTAAATTTTAAATGACAGATCTGGAATTTCTATAGAGGGTTTTAAATTATGGACCTTCTCCCTTTACTCATATCTATTTCCTGGGGTAGGAATATGACACAAATAGAGTATGAAACCAAAATTTATAATATTTATATACTAAGAAGAACACGTGGGTTTTCTGCTGAGAGAAAACTAAGGCAGACCATTCAAGGATACTTGGGTATTGATTCTGCTTTCTCCTTGGGCTTTGTCATCTGCTAGTCTAAATGTTGGTATCCCTGAAAATTTCTTATGTTAAAATCCAATACATACCCAAAGAGATATTACTCAGAAGTTTTGCCTTTGGGAAGTGAGTAAGTCATGAGGGCTCTGTCCTCATGAAAGGAATTAGTGCCCTTATTTATAAAAGAGGCTGAAGGGAGCTGTCCTTCCCTCTATTTCGCCATGTAAGGATGTAGTAAGAAGGCACCATCTTTGAAGTAGAGAGCAATTCCTTACAAGACACTGAATCTGCTGGTGCCTTGATCTTGGTGTTCCCTGCCTCCAGAACTGTAAGAAATAATTTCCTAATGATTATTCATTAGAAATATTCTCAAGTATTTTGCTTTAGCAGCCTGAAGAAACTAAGATATCATCACAACAATAACTGACTCCAGAACTAGGACAGCTCCATGCTTTGAGTACCCATACAACCATTCTGTTTTTCACTTTCAGTATAGTATTCAATAAATTACACTTTATTATAAAATAGTTTTGTGTTAGATTTTGCCCAGCTACAGGATAACATAAGTATTCTGAGAACGTTTAAGCTAGGCTAGATTAAGCTATGATATTCAATAGGTTAGGTGTGTTAAATGCATTTTCAACTTATGATACATTTATTAGGATGTAACTTCATTGTAAGTTGAAGAGCATCTGTATAATATTGTATTGAGTGAAATGTCCAATAAAATAGTATGGTTTACATTGATTTTGATTAAAAATAAGAAGTGATAATACATGAAGGATGAAATTATAGGTAAATTTTAGCTCTTTATTTTGCTTATTTATAATTTCTGGTTTTCCAAAAATAAACACGTTAGATAATTGTCCAGTTGCTAAGTGATGAATACTTAAAGTAGTGGTAGAGGATATGAATGAGAAATAACAAATTAGAGACAGACTTAGGAATAGCATCTGGAAGACTTGGTGACTAAGAGGACAGGTATAATTCAGGGGACAAAAGGAAGAAGTCAACGAAAAGGTTTCTCCTTTCAATGATTGAGTAGATTACTATTGGTCATAATCAGAAAAGAGAAAGCAACAGGAAGAACATACTTCATTTTATACTCTCGATGGTATCTCACACAGGAAAAACCTAAAGATTGGGAGCACTAAAATTTAAAGAAAGGGGACAGTAGAATTAAATTATCAGAGCAAAATAAACTTAAATGTAACCAAAGGTAAATTAGAAATCACCATATTCCTTTTTTAAAAAGAAAGTCTTGTTATATGACAAGACTTTTTATAATTATGAGTAATTACGTGGAATCACCTAATGCTCATTGCTGGAGATGAGATTTTTCCCCAACACTATGTTCCATAAAAAGGAACCAAAAACCCTTAGACTCTATTTTTAAGAGTATCAAAGTAATGAATAGGCAGGACGCGGTGGCTCATGCCTGTAATCCCAGCATTTTGGGAGGCTGGGGCAGTTGGATGACCTCAGATCAGGAGTTTGAGACCAGCCTGGCCAACATGGTGAAATCCAGACTCTACTAAAAATACAAAAATTAACTAGGTGTCATGACATGCGCCTGTAGTCCCAGCTACTCAGGAGGCTGAGGCAGGAGAATCGCCTGAACCCAGGAGGCGGAGGTTGCAGTGAGACAAGATCCCACCATGGCACCCCAGCCTGGGGGAAAGAGCAAAACTCTGTCTCAAAAACAAAACAAAGTAATAAATAACTGAGGTGAAGACTTGTGGAAAGTGCCCCAAGATACCAAGATTCTAAAGAGAACACAGTTTTAATGGTAATCTTCTACATGTTTGTCCTGTTTCAGAGGAATGAATAAGAGTTAAAACAGCTGGTATTTCTCTTTTGTCTTTTTTTTTTATTTATTTTTTATTATTATACTTTAAGTTCTAGGGTACATGTGCATAACGTGCAGGTTTCTTACATATGTATACTTGTGCCATGTTGGTGTGCTGCACCCATCAACTC